GATATAAATGCTGATGTCAGATTAATCTAAGCAGAAAACACTAGAAAGATGTTTTACTGTGTTTTATCGGCTATGCAACAGCATTCAACTACATGGATCCCTGTGTGGATCATAGCAATTTATAGAGTGGGGATTCTAGAACATTTAATTGTGCTCATGTGGAACTTGTTGACAGACCCAGAAGCAGTTTTCCAACAGACTAAGGGGATACAGTGTGGATTGATATCAGGAAAGGAGGGTGTCAGGGTGTATTGTTTAACTATACTTATTCATTCTGAATGCTGAGCAAATAATCTGAGAAACTAATGAGGCATTAGGATTGGAGGAAGGTTTATTAAGCATCAGAAGATTAAAGGAATACAAAAACAATGTATGAAAAAGAATTGGTCATTGATCAACTGGTTCAGTGAGTAACATGATCAAGATAATATTAAAGGAAGAAATGCAAGCATCAAGATTGGAGGATGGCTTATCAACAACCTTAGATATGCAGATAGCATAACTTTGCTTACTGAAAGAAATGAGGACTTGAAACACTTATTGATAAAGATAAAGGACTGTATCCTTCAGTTTGCACGCACCTAAACAAAAATAACTTTCTTCATTGCTGGACGAATAAGCAAGAATATGAGAAGTGTAGACAATACTGAAGTTTTGAAATATTTCAATTTATTTAGATCCACAATTTGTGGAATGAGCAGAAATACATTCAAGAAATCAAAGAATGTATTGCTTTGGGCAAACTTCCTGCAACAGACCAATTTAAAGTATTAAAGCAAAGACGGAGGACTTAGCTGCCCTTGACCAAACCATGATATTTTCAGTTGCCTCATATGCATGCACACGCTGAAAACAATGAACAAGGAAGATGGAACAGCTGATGCATTTGAATTATGGTGTTGGTGAAGAATACTGGTTATATCATAGACTGTCAGAAGAAAGAATACATCTGCTTTAGGAATAAGTACAGCCGTAATGTGAAGATGCTGAAAGGACTTTGGACATATTATCAGGAGGGACCATGCTTGGTAAAGTAGAGGGTAAGAGAAAATGAGGAAAACCCTCACTGAGTTGGATTGGGACACGGACAGCAACAATAGGCTGAAGAATAAAAACAATTGTGAGGACGATGCAGGTCTTAGCACTGTTTCATTCTGTTGAACATAGGATCTCTATGCGTCAGAACGGACTTTATGGCTATTAATCATGTTTATGCATTTATTTTTAACCAGCTTTATCTTGAAAGTTCAGAAATATTGTGAACGAAGTACAATTGAAGAAAATAGCTTTGGGTGTAGCATGACCTCCTCCCACCATATGGATTTCATTTCAGCCCACAATTTGTGTATACTTCTCAAACATTCTATCCAGGGAAAATAACAGGGCCATTTTTAGTTAGCACCTTGATATATTTAGTCTCACTAAAATCCATAACACTCTTCTAAATTATTAGGATTATTTAGAAATGGGAATTCTTTACTTGAATAAGATCACAAAGCATAATTTGCAATTTCAGTTTCAGTAAAATCTCGTGCCAGGCATAAAAAGAAAAAAAAGATAGGTGCCTACCAACCCCCAAACTGATAGTTACATGCACCTTTTGAACGGTAACTTTTGTGTTTCCAATGTTAATTTTTATTTCATATAGATAGCATGCTTAGTAGTAGGCACAGATCATATTTGATGTCACAATTGTGTTGCAAAACCCTCTTGTTATCTTTTGGATTGTGCAGAATTGATGTTTGGTTCCTCTGCAACCCACCTGACCATGCAGAAGATTCTTTAAAGTCTGAACAGAGACTTATTGATTTGGTCTTTGGAACAACAACAACAAAAAAGAGGCACCAAGTGCCCATCCCCCTTTCTCCCATTATCATTATCTCTCTGTAGGATTCTTGCACAGGCCAGGCATTCTTTGCTTTAGAATGGATGGGTCTGACAAAGAATGTAGTGTTAGGGGTTTCTCAACCGTTCTGGCCCCTCTCAAGGATTCTATTCTCAAACGAAAAAAAGGAGGTTTGGGTGTTAGGCTGCGGTCAAGACATATTTGCTGTTAACTACAGCATCGTGACTGCCCCCAGACCTGTTGAAGGTCTCCCCAGAGACCTCTAGGAGTCTGGCGTACCTCAGAATCAAGCCTACTGGGAGTAAAACGTGGGTGTACACAATCCAGTTTTTTTAAATGTTTTTATTTTATTCTAATGGGATGTTGAAAGAAGGCTACTTTTATATTTCTGAGGTTAAGATGTGCTTTACATCGAGCCCAAGTAATACAAAATTTTGTTTGCTTTTGGGTAGAGAAGCTGAGAGATTAAAAAAGAAATGATCCATGATTTTATTCTTTAGGAGTCTCAAGATCTTACTTTCCTCTTCTCTTGACACTTTTTTGCATCAGTCTCAATTTCTTAACATTCATCATGCCAAAATAGTACCTACAATTATTTTATAAGTTTCCACATTTGCGCCCGCAGTTTAACTCTGGGACATGGCCCAGGTCTTGTCTCCTAGCTTAGCTTCTTCACACTGACTCTCCCTGAAGTGAGGGGCATGGGAAAGGGAAGGAGAATGTGATACCACTGGCTACTTTCTGCTTCCTGACACCATGGAAAGGCAGTTGGTGTTTACTTATTCTAAGAACAGAGAATGGCAATACTAGAAATCAAATCAGTTTCTATCTCGATCATGATCATAAAAAGTCAAATATTTTACTATAGAGCCTTTGATGATGATAAACATTCTTTTATATTTGTAATACATAATTCTGTCCCCCACAAAGGATTTCAGACAACTTATTTATCCATAAAAGTAATAAGCACTCTAAAATATTTGCGTAATGCATAAGTAGAAAAGGATGCCTCCTTTTGGTCATTCTATTGGTCTTAAAGTGACAATATTCATTAAGTAATTTGGGTCACAGAATGAGGTTTCAACTCTCCTGTTACCATAATGAGTAGATACAAGTAGTTAATACCAGACTTCATTAAGTAATACAAGAAAAAGAAACGAAATAGAGACCTGAACTTTAATCTAAAACCAATATTGACCAAGATAACAATGCCACTGTAAAGAAATTGTACAGTATTACAAAACTGCAAATCAGGTAACAGAGACTTGAAGTGAGAGATCCACAGAGTGTGCGACCTGTCACGGTGACATTCCATTTTGCATTTTATTAACACAGAACGTGGCCTGTCCTCTGTTTTCATTACATGGTAGCATAGTTGTTGATGTACAACAGGTTGGTTTTTTTTCTTACCATGGACTTATGTGTTCTGCAAAGTGCCCAGGCTTTATTAGTTTTCACATAGGAAATGGAAGCTGGGTGGCTTAGGCACAGATTTAGTCAAAGGATGACTTGCCATAAACACAAGCTTGTGCTTACCAAATAATACAGATAAGGATGCTGTAGCTTAAAATTAGATGCTTTTGTTTTCAATACAAATCATCTCTGCTGACAAATACTGCTAATGGTATATCCTACAAAATAAATAATGCCAGCAATTTTAAGGTAGTCCCTATTTATGAGCGGAGCTGCCTTAACATAGAATCTACGTAAAGGAAGTTTGTAAAGACACACCTGAAAATTTAACTTTGATGGCACAAATTGTGGGACAGTGACTGCTGAGTGGTCTCCAGAATCCAGATGCTTCACTGTACAGCATGTAGGATGTCTCTTCTCTGTATGGTTCAGAAATATTTAGAGAAATTGGAAGAAACTCATCAGGCCTATAGATTTGGGCACTGTTAGCTCATTACTTATCTTTCCGGGTTATATATTTGTACTACATTGTATAATTCTTCAGAGATGAAAATTATTTAATTTATCCAAGACCAAACCACACCAAAACAACAACAGGAAAACAACACCATTGAGCTGATTGATTCTAACCTGTGTGTCAGGGAGGAATTATGATCCATTGGGTTTCTTTCTCTTTTCCCCCACTATGTTTATTGTGAATTGGGCACAGGTTTCCAGAGCAGACCATCAGGTTTTCATTCAACACTCTTCTACATTTTGTTTCATGTCATTAATTGCAGTCCCTTCAAAATAGCATCACTTACCCTAGCTCCCCCTTTAGTTTCTTGTTTTCTTCTCCTTTTTTACCTAATCCTACTGAATTTTGTCCTGGAGTAAATGCTGCCCTTTTGATCTCAAGTGGTTGATTTTTCTAAGGTGTGTGCATCTCTGTAGTATTATTGTTCCTCTTGTATATTTATTATTTGGCTGAAAAGTGAGCCACAGCAGTGAGTGTAGCTTCAGACTTTAAGGGTGACTTCAGTCCATAGTGCCTGGGTTCTACCAGTTTCTATCTGGCCAAGAAGCCTGGTGTCTTGGAGGATGTTGAGTTTTCTTCCTCCCTTTTGTTCTTCTATATCCAGGATCCTCTAGTGTGATCCCTGTCAGAGCAGTTGGTGGTGGCGCATTGAGTTTCTTAGCGAACAATTTATTTAAGTGGATCATCAGGCAGGCTTTTGTTGGAATCAAAATGTTAACATTCTTTTCAGCAGCCCTAACTCATCACCAGGGAGAATCACCCTTGATTCAAGGACACTGCTTGTGACATATGTTCCATCCATATATGATTGTATCCTCATACAAATTTATTTCTGAACACATATACATGAGATGGCTTCCAAAGGTGGAATGGAAAGATAATGGCATTTCCCACTAACATTTTAAAGTCTCTTGTTAACAACCATAAGTTTGTTTTTACTTTGTTTGAGATCTCAGGTCATTAGTTAATCATTTTTTGTTATTGTTTCATACTATTATCAAACTATCTATTTGCCCTCTTTTAGTTAATTTGTTAGATGAGATATCTTAAGTACTTTAAAGTAGCAAATATCATACTCTCTCCTTTACATTTTATTGAGTAATAAATAACTTGAAAGTGGTCGTGGTGGTAGTGGGGAGGATGTGTGTTTTAACTGAGTTGTTTGAACATTGATTTTGTGATCTTGGTCTTTAATAAAATTAACTTCTCTACTTTGATTGGCAGGATCTTCAAAGGTGGGTAAATGGTGCTAATGAACATGGCTTTGTCCTGGTGTCTTTTGGAGCTGGAGTCAAGTATCTGTCAGAAGATATTGCTAACAAACTGGCAGGAGCTCTGGCAAGATTGCCTCAAAAAGTAATTTGGAGGTAAGGTAATAATGGCAGAGAACGTTCTTCTTTTAGTAGTCTGTTATTTAGCCTACAGGCCCGAATAAAGCACAACACAATGATATTCATTTTGTTTCTGAGTTTATTGTAATCTAGGGATGAATTAATAAGCAACTATTTTAGATAAAGTATAGAAAGAAGATGCAATTGGAAAGGATTTATCTTCATGTGAGGTATATTTTTGTTACCGTTGGATTTCTTCCCTCATCTACTCTTGGATTATTTACTGTTACCTGTCAGTTATAATTTTATGCATTTCAATGTACTGCTTCAAATGAGTTTTGGAATAAGGTAGACAATGATAGATGGACTAATGATTACATACACTCTGGCAAGGACATTCTGGATTCTGATTTGTTCTCATTCACAGATATTTTCCACTTCTTTTATTATTTAAAAGATCAAACTCTCTGGAAACACAAGCAGCTGACTCTACTATAAACACACCCATAGGTGGACCCAAGTTTCTTTTGTGATCCCAATGCCAAGGCATTGTCTCTGCCTCTGGAATTTTCAACCCAGTGTTTCATAATTGGGGTCTAATCACTTTACTGAACATGTTTCTCCAGTTGATGTCACCATTATTGGGTTCTAGGGATATAGCAATGATCAATTCATTACATGTTGTGGCAGAGCTTATTCTTAGTCATGACAACCCCATGTGTTACAGAGCAGGATGTTCATTAGTAACCCCACCCCACCCCACCCCACCCCACCCCTGTGTTCTTAAGGGAGAAGATCACCAAACCTTTTCTTCTGTACCACTGGTTGGTTCTACACACCAGCTGTTTAGGATAACCTTGTACACAAACTGTTTGCACTATTTAGGAGACCTGCCATTACAAGTAGTCTCTAAGTAATGTGAGTTTTCTTTTATGACAGCAATGTATAGATATTCTTCCCAGCTCTTCCACCTAAGCTATGAATTGTATATATATTTTATTCTAAACTTTCAGAGCTTGGTACCCTGTTGGCTTCAATTTATGTCTGCTATATTTAGATGCTTATTCTCTAAGATGATAAACACCTTTGTGGTTTGTTTTAAAACAAGGAACAGTGTAATTATGTTATGTTCCTCCCCAACCCCATCTCCCTCTCCACGCCCCCACCCCCCACAGAATACCTCTTCTCTAGGGCCAGATAGGACAAAAGTGCCTTCCTCTTTCACATCTTCTCTTAAAATCGGCATGTCAAGTTAAAAACTGCCACTGATGGTCTTCTTTGTCCCTTTTTGTATTCCAGCTTCTGGGTACCAATGGAGAAGGACTTTCTAGCATAGGTTTATTTGGTAGTATTTCCCCCACTTCTGTGTAATGGTGAGAGAGTGGTGTTGGTAGAAAATAGACCTTAACTTAAGCAAAGTGTTTCTTTTTTTATTAATTTGGATTCAATATATGTAAGAAACCATTCCATATTTCAGTACCATCAAGTCGAATTGTACAGTTGGTACCACAAGCAGTAATCAAAGTATTTCTTATTCAGCCTATGCAAGTTTGAAAATTAAACCATCAAATTTTCGTGGCACAGTTATAGTCTTAAGAAGACCCAAAAAAGATAGTTAGATTTTAAACTTAATAATTTAATGGAAACATCTCTACTGTCGGTAAGGTTTGATTTTTAAAAAGGCTTTATTGTCTGGTGTGCATTGTAGATTTTCTGGAACCAAACCCAAGAATCTGGGAAACAACACTAAGCTCATAGAATGGTTACCACAAAATGATCTGCTTGGTAAGTCACTGGTGTATTTCACACTTACTTGGCTCTGGACTTTATTGTATAACTGTGAGTTTTTAAGTGTAATCATTTGTGCATTGTGCAATTGGTTTATGATATGGCCATTATGCTCCACTATTCCAAATCAATTAGACAAATGTGGAAGAAATATAAAATGTATTGTCTAGGCCTATGTATTAAATTGTCCAATTAAAAAAATTACTTATCTGGTCATTGTACTTAGTAAACTGTGTAAATTGGCAGTGATTAAAGTGAGAACTCCTTAAGCTGACCAGCTAAGAAGTGGTCAAATTAAAACAGTGCAAATAGTTAAATAGTTTGGTTTATAGCTTTTACAGATGTTTCTAATAGCCCAGAGAAATCAAAAGTTCTTAACAGACTAGTTTGAAACCAGAATTCAGAAGACCATGGAAAGAGTGAATTATTTTAACTTGACTTGGATCATCTGCCTAGATTCCTCCTTAAATCATCAGTTGACAGTGAAATACTTTATTCCTTTGGGTTACAGGATTGTGATATTCAGCTCAGAATTAAAATATCTCTCATTATATGCATATTCTTAAAAGTATATCAGAGCCTAAATAATTTAACTCTTGATTATATACACACAGATAGTAAGAATGTCCATTTTATTTTGTTTATTACCTTTTAGGAAAACATACTGTGTACTAATTAATTTTCTTAATGTATTATGTACTAAGGAAATTACAAAAGGATTATTTTGGCAATACTGAGCTTTGTTTATTTAATAATACTTAAATCTAGCAGATTATGGTACAAAGTAGCTTCACATTTAAAATTATATTTATAATTAAGGTTTTAAAAGTTAGTTTATTGTAACTACAGTAGCCCCTATCCGATAAACTAGCCAATTGAGTTTTGTAACTAAGCACAGTAAATAATTATTTTTATATTTATGTAATCATTTTTCATTATTAATTTTATTTTATAAATGGTAAAATAGAAAAACAAGGTAATCACAAGTGCCTTTTTAATGTTAACTATTCTTTTATCTTTAGTGTTTACTATACGGCTTAAGGTTCTAAATAATATACCCAAAAAACTAAACCAAACTCACTGCCATTGAGTCCATACCGACTTCTAGTGACCCTACAGGACAGGAGAGAACTGTTCCTATGAGTTTCTGAGATTGTAACTCTGTCAAGATATAGAAGGCCCATCGTATTCCAGAGGAGCAGCTGGTGAATTTGAACTGCTGACGTTGCAGTTAGTAGCCCAATGTGTAACCACTATGCCACCAGGGCTCCTATATGTAAGATAAAGTAGCAGCAGATTAAAATGATATATCCTATCAATCTAGCTAGCTCAATCCAGCCATGTGGCACTAATATACAGAAACATCATGTGGGCTCTTTTGGTTGTTGTTGCTTTATACTGTGGAACTCTACAGCAACCTGTAGCTAGCTGGAAGTCTATACCTGAATATCATTCACCAAGTCACGTGCTCCTCTGAGTGCCTCACTCAGAAAAATTCACTGGATTGGGTTGATTCCAACTCAGTGTCCTGTAGAACAGGCGAGAACTGCCCCTGTGGGTTTCTGAGATTGTACCTCTTCATGCGAGGAAAAAGCTCGTCTTTCTCCCACGGAGCCCCTGGGTGTTTTGAGCTTTTGACCATGTGGTGAGTAGCCCAACACATAACCACTCCACCACCAGGGCTCCCTCAGAGTAATTTTAAAACTAGACATGTCCGTTAGCATGTCAGCTGTGGTTCTTGTAACAGTTTCTAAACTGTGACCACAGGTTTCTGCAGGATGAGAAGCAGGAATCAAACTAGTCTCCTTTGACCCCCGATACACACACACACATGCACCAACTCTGCTGCTTTCACTCTCTACTGGGTTTGATGGTAAGGATTTATTAAAAAATAAGGCATCACTGATTAAAAGATATTTTGAAATCCAATGCTATGGAAGTGTGCTGGGTAGATCCCTCATTTGGATGTGGGAAGCTGAGCATCCTCATTGTCAGTGAGGAATAGAAACACTGAATGATCAACTCTGTTAGAGAGTGTCATAGATCTTGGGGCAGGAGATCCACTGGGGCCTCATTGAGGAGGTGGCAACTCACATGCATAACCAGTTTTATGCCCGGGTTGCAGATAATGATAGCCCCTTTGAAGGATTGGCATTTTTGCAAGCCATAATTCCTTTCTTGTTGTACAATGATTTTATTAGGTCCAGTGCTTCCTTTCCTTGCACTTCTTATGTAAGTCATTTGGCTCCTTTTATATAATGTAGGTGGCTCAATGGAATTTGGGGCTTTTAAAATACCTCATTAATTTTGACAATTTATCTTTTTTGTTATTCATCAGCCATCTATACATTGTGTATTGCGTCAACTCTCACAACTGGTTTTTAGAAGTGTTTGTGCCAACATGCATGTATA